ACACTAGTATTTAACGATCATTAATTTCATTAGCGCAGAGAAAAGTTCGCTTGCGTATATCTAAATCGCCAGATTTACCTCATTTAAACTTTAAATTGAATACATGCACATGTGGATAATTTAAAGCTGAAATACCTCGGGGCCGAGCCGATACACATCGTGTGAGGAACGTTCATCGCGTGTTGCAATACTGCATTTTCCTAGCAATAGTTTTTACTCTACAATATGAAGCACCTGAACTAGCGTAAGGTCACGTTACGTAAATAAATCTAAGCTTAACCGCCGTGGCGCCGCGTGGAAAGCACCACCCCTTGTAATTGATGTACTGCTAGATAATATCTATTGATAGAATATTTTTAGACTACGCTTACAAGACGGATTTTTTACTCGTTTTCCTTTATTGTTTGTTTAGATAGTAAAAAGATAGTCTCTATAGTTTTATTCGTTATGTTTACATTCTGTAAAAGTATGTAAAAAGGTTTCTATATTATTTTCTTTACTATAATTTATTTTAATCGATTAATTCAGGCCTCACCTGGCGGCATTAGTTAGCCGCCTCGGCTGGTATCAAGGTTTTTAGTTAATAGAATCAGAAGCAATTTATTAAAATTGCAACACTTTCGCCAAAACGAATATTAATTAAGCCACGGTAGGGTAAAGTAATGAAAAAATTCATGACGAGATTTAGGTTTTTGCTTTAATGCTAATTGTATTTGGTTGAATTTAGTTATTTAAAATTTCTAAACAGTTGACATGTTTTGAATCATTTTATGTAATGGTATCAGTGACTAAAAAAATTTTATATCCAGATGCGGGGGATAGTAGAAAACAATAAAAATTTCGCTTTTGCGGTATGAAAAGGTTTTTTCTTGAAAGTTGTTTACATTATCCACGCATCGTATTTGATAATTCCTTATTATTCTAAGTTTATGTGTACAGTTATTTATATTTTAACGTTAAGTTTCACTGACGTAAATCCGTCCGGAAAACGGTGTGTAATGGTTTTGGGTTGGGTCTGGAAAACTTTCTTCGGTTTTATTATTCAAATATTTCCGTTCGTTCACTTTGAATCCATTTTTGTGTGAACATTCATTTGCTAAATTTAAAACTTTTTCTTAAAAATTATATGTAATAATTTAGGTAGGAATATAAAAAAGAGAAAGTGAAGATATACGTAAATAAAGATTTTTTTCGAACATCTGTAACATTTCTTGTGCAACGAAACTAATGGAGCAAGTTTTGCAATTCATCTTATTTGATAAGCGAACAGCTTCGATTTCTTTGTACGAAAATGGTGAGTCTGAACATCCAGGTTAGAAATTGGGTCAAAGAAATTAGTGTAGGTGAGTGAATTGATTGAAAAAAAACTGTTGGTTTGAAAATATTTAAATATTGTAGGTAATGTAAAAGAAATGTTGGTTTTGTTTTATTGCAATAAACGTAATCCGCCATTTTAGATGGATGGATGGATGGGTAGATGGATGCATGTTTGTTAGAGTTTGTAGCCTAAACAGCTGAACGGATTTCGATGAAATTTGGCATAGAAGTAGAGGATAGGCTGGAAGAACACATAGGCTACTTACTTTCGTTTTTTCTTACTTCCACGCGGACGGAGTCGCGAGCGAAAGCTAGTATTAAAATAAAATAATGATCGATTTTATCTACGCATTTAACCGAGGAGCCTCTAAGGTATGTTAACGATTATACGAACATGTCAAGAACATTCCTCGGGCAGAAACTACGAAAGTACACTGAAAAATAAATACAAGAAGAAATTACATTTTAAAAGAAATTCTGTTTAATATCAATAAATGACTTTTATGTAATTTAGAGCTTCCGTATTAATTTTTATTTCTGTATCCAATCAATTTTGTCATTAAAAAGCCACGATAGATTTTGAACGCATTTCAATTATGAGTGCTACACCATTCAATTATAAAAGACATATAGACCGTGCAAATTGACTGTTAAAAGTTTTATAGCCAATAGACTATGTCTATATACCGTTAAATGTGGTAAACGTACATCAAAGTATGCAAGAAATATCCATGTAGCGCTGTAACCATCAATATGATTCATGACGTCATAGCCGGCGCGTGACGTAACGAGGCAAATTACTAATTTGTAGATTACGGCTCTCCTTGATTGATGAGTCTGTGAAGAAAAATCATTAATCTTATATCGTATTGCGAGAACACTTTTTATGCATAAAATAACCACATTTCATATAAAACTCGATAACGATTGTAAAATAAAAAAACTGCAAAATATTTTTTCACTATTTACTTCATATACAAAAGTATTTAAGACACGTTAAGGTAGAAAGACCAAAGCCTTCTATCACTATAGCCCCGGGGTCTATCCTCTTTGTGCGACGTCTAAGCACCCGGGAAGACCTTTAAATGTATCCGGTCTCTACAACTTATGTTGTCGCTAATACCTACGTATCTATTGTGTGCTTTTAATGCGATTTATAAAACTTTTATATTGTTGGAATGTCTTTTAAAAGTATTTTGTACAACTCTCCCATTGGTAGATCCCTAAACTATTGGGACATAAAAGTATGTTACTTTTCACAATGGAATAATTTTAAAAACGCTACACAAGTATAACGATTCATATAAATGTCATTTTGTTGCAAAAGTGCCACCTAGAATCTTAGATACATTTGTGTAACGTATCTAAATATATTTAAAGTTTTGCTAATAACGGCAAATACCCGTAAATTACATATTTATAATTAGTAATAGGCAAACATTATATTAATTTTATGTATACTGTATAAAATAAACACAATTAGCCGTAAGAGGTAGATAATACACCGAGATATTAATGATGTTAACATTTCACAACAAGGTTAAGATAGTTTACGTCGTTTATATCTTGTGTACTATGAGCCGCATTAAAAGCTTTTGATTAATGTTTGATCAAATAGTTACGCTTCTTCAGTTCAGGAATTGTGAGATAAGGTTTGGGTTTAGTAAGGCAGTCCTTGAAATACGCCTTTCTGATGTTACAAGTTGCTTTTATAATTTGTTTACACTGATGCTGTCACATAAAGACACGCTTAATGATTCCTTAAATATTATCTTAGATTTCATATACTTATCCTACATTAATTAGTGACCACTTAATGATTTTGAGTACAGTAAATGTTTAATTTAATAGTGAATAACTACTACAATACATATTATCTTAGTATTGTTATAAATGCGAAAGTTCAGATAAATGGATTGATGGATGTTTGTTAGAGTTTGTAGCCTAAACTGCTTAACTGATCTCGATGAAATTTGGTATAGATTTAGAACATAGTCTGGAAGAACACATAGGCTACTTACTTTTTTTTAATTCCACTCGGACGGAGTCCCGGGCTAAAGCCAGTATTATATGTATTACATCATTCGTTCTATGTATAGATATGTTTTATTATTTATTGCATTAGTAATGACGTAATAACAATAGCGTGTATTGAGAAATTGATTAAATTTGATTGCCTCGGTATAAAGTATTGCCGCTTTGACCCCAACACTGACACCTGAGCACGAAAGCCTTGATGTCAGTCATTTGCTTATCTTTTGTAAATAATTGACGGCGTAGGTCGTAATAAATAGAATATTCTATATTAAGGAAATACTAGTTTTCACACCGGATGTTGCCTAGTGAATGGTTTTATAACAAAAGAAAAATCTCGCACTAATGGAAATTGAACAAATATTTTTTATGTGTAGTCTGGAATTTATACATCTTTCAACACAAAAATATGCTTGAAAATTGGGATCTGACGTAATATTTATCACAATTTTGCCAAATGCTAAGTGGTAAATTGATATTATTAAAAAAAAACGTTTAGCAAATAGATTTATAGTTTGTATATAATAATTTATTAGTTGTTATTGTTGCTTCCGACGTCATCTTTCGATAGAACTGATCCAACTAAGATATTTTTATACGTTTTCCGCAAAACATGCTTTGATATCGCAATGATGAACTGATTCAGAGCTTTGGCAACCGTCAGTGAAATACTTGGTTTGTTTATCACAGCATTCGCGTATGGAAGACTCATCGGGACGTATTTCTCCTGTCTCTTGACGCATACGACTATTTTAAGACGTCGCGGTTCAATGCAACCATTGTGCTACGGTTGAAATTAATATTCGATCTCAGATAGATATTTAGTTATCTCCCCATTTTTATTAACAATATTTGTTTTTTATTTTATACATATTTAAGTGGTTTAAAATTTTCTATAACAACCAAAAACACAACAAGTATTCGAAAATGTTTAGTACGTGATATCATAGATCTATCTACGCGTTATCCAAAAAAAATTAAGGATCGATCTCAAGGATTGATTATTGATCCTTCAGTCGTGAAGTATTCTCAGAGCATCGTTTAAATTTATTCACACAGTTGGTGCAGTTGCATGTTTACAAGCCGTGATTCATCATAATAAACGTCATTGGATTTAATTTAAGCACATCAAGAAATTGATAGTTAATTACCTCTTATATCTTAAAATATACTGATCTTACTTCCTGAGATTAAAATTATACAGTATTAGCTTGTGTTAATGCATGTTGGAATTATAAAGTTTAACACTATTCTAGTTAACGTTAACGGATCAATTATTTTGCATCCAGATTAATAAAAAACAGTTTCATCATATACGTGAATTTAAATTGTGTAAAAAACTGACCGCTATTAAAATTCACTGCATTTCCAATAGATCCGTTACAAAAGCGAATTAAAGTAATATCAAATCTATAATTTTATCTTGTGAAAAGTATGTCCCATTCGTTTGCACAAACAACTTGCACATAGTACAGTAAGTACTTATGTATACACGCGAAATATACGGATATGCAATACAACTTCTTAGAGATTTTCTGCAAGTTCAGATTAATAACCGCAATTAATTAATCCGGCGTGGCAGCTGACTGTCCATTTTGTTTCGGAGAAATGTGACCGCGAAACGTCGTGATCTCAGACGCTGCGCCCACGCAAAGCTCGCGCCGGACAAAGCGACTCGCTTCTCGGTTCAGTTCAGTACACGCGGGATCTCGAAACGGGAAACAACTCCTCAACATACAGTGCTACAGTACAGAACTTCAAGGAATACGCTTTTACATTTTTTTTTTAATTCAGGTAATTTTTAATATCTTTTTTTATAAATTTTTAAGATCGAATTATAATTTTGAAGAGTATCTGTTTATTTTTTTTTTAATTAAAGCTTAAAACAGAATACGTTAATTTATACTAATTTATTAATTACAAACCTCGTGCCGCCCGCAGGCTATCTTTGTATTAAATCAGTAAAATATACTTTCAAGAACCAACCCACAATGATAAGCACAGTAACAAAACGATTTTTTTTTATTCTACACCGAGCAATTTCTATTTAAACTTCAAGTTTTAGTGGGATATTGTTTAAAAAGATAATTAATATGAAGCTGAATCCCATATCTCTTAATAAATTGTTGTAATTTTTTAAACATCATATTTATACGCTGATTAAAGTTTTTACATGACCATTTCATTTACTCGCGGTAAATATGTAGATCATATCTAGTTTATATCGATTTAAAACAATACTACATTATAAGCATAAATAAATCTTAAAACTACATATGTCATGTTTTTTCAATAAATTGTGAAATTCTAGCTACATTCTGGAATGTTCGAAAGAGTTCATAATAGATTTAGACCGATAGCCTAGATAGACTTGAACATTTGTCAATTCTCTTGAATGTTCTAGTCACGTGCACAACAATAGTCCCGAGGTTTGTGTAGTTAGATTTACAAGAATGCGAGCGCCGCCGGGTGTTCGTCGAACTTGCCCTGAAATTTTTCAGAGACGTAAATTTAAATACAGCCGCTGCTTTCCACTTCTGGCCTCGAGCCAACCGCCGCATTCGCTTCCATCAACTCTGACTTTTCGTTTTACTTTTCCAACGTGTTGAATAATTCAAACGCGTATTCCATTTTTTTATTTATTTATTGATTGTTATGAATATTTATTAATACTAAATTACTTTAAATCCAAATATGTTTTGAAAACATATGATTTAAAAGGATTAAGGCATATTGGCAAAGACTCTTTCCAATTTTTTTTGTTTTCGAAGTTACAAAATATATATATTTTTATAGATAACACAAACTTTACAAGATGTCTGAGAGCAAGCAATTGGAAGCTGGTCAGCAGCTCGTTAAGAAGACAATGGATGAGTTGATTCAACAGAAACAAACCACAGAAAAAGTAACCATTCAGGCGAGACAAGAGTTCCGCGAACACTTTGAACAGAGTTATGAAGAAGAATTTGAGGAAGAAACTTTTATTGATCAGTTCGGAAATGAGACGACCAAGAGAGTGGAGTCGAGCAGCGAGAGCTCGGAGCACTCGAAGAGCGCCAACGTGCAGGTGAAGGCGTCGGGACTGAACGCGGAGCAAGTGAAGGCCCTCACAGACTGCGCCAATGAGGCGGGACAACTCGCGCTCGATTCTAAACCAGCCAACTGAGGCATGTAATTAGAAACGTTTATTAAAACCTAATACCCCCATTACAATTAAATAACTTAAATGAAATTGCGAGAAACACTACCATATTTTAGAATTAAGATACAATTATTTGCGCTTGTTGTTCGAGATGTAAATCCTTTTATTCCTAAATTTTCCTTCCCTTATTCTTAGCTCAAACATTTCATATAAATATTTTTACTAATTGTACCAATTTGTTTCAGGTGTCATTTTAAAGTGCGTGTGGTGGTACCAAAGAGTGATAAAGACTGTGTCCAGTGTTCCTTTCTAAATGTTATCATTAATTTAAGTTTACTTTTATAAAAGTCAATAAATGTTTTAATCAAAAATGGTGTATTGAATTAGTGCAGTAAAGTCCGAGGTGCTATAGGTGACTTAGGAAATAAACTAAAATGGAGGAGGAAGACGACGAACGTAAAGTCCGTAGGCAGAAGTTGGCGGCGTTCAGCTCGCTTAACGCACGTATCGTGCACACCTCACTAGAGGAGGGATTCCTACGCCAGCAGGCTTCGTCCGAATCGGCCGACGCTAACACATCTAGTATTTCAACAGCTCAGTTCAGTGATAGGAGTTTCGTATCTAAAACGAGTACATTCTCCCGAAGCGGTACCTCAAGTTCGAGTCAAGAGGAATGTGAGGTGGCTCAGACGACCATCACGAGCGGCCAGTACCTAGCAGCCGCGAGGGTTGAGACGGCTCGCTCGATGGAGAGTCTTCGTCCGAGTAAAGATACGTCCCCAGCGCGGCCGGCGAGCTCCTGTACCACGGTGCGGGTTCACCGTAGCTCGTTCTTGACCGCGAGTGAGCGCGATGTACGGGAGTCACGTGGGCTGCCGGCGCGACGTGCTTTGTCTGGCGAGGACATGGGCAACTCGGCGGAAAAGCGACGCGGGCTGTTTGCGAGTACCGAGCGACGAGCTCTGCAACAACTCAGCTTGCCTCCGCCGGAACGCCGCCTCACGATCCTTAGCCCGCACAGCCCCATGGCAACGACTGAACTACAATGGCCTACACCACCCGGTATACGAGGTAGACGGAAGAAGGGCATGGTCCTGCCCAAACTAATATTACCACGGAGCGACTCTGACGGATCAGAAGTATTTTTCGAAAGGTGCATTATTTTTTACATGTATTTCGATAAAATTAGACTTATTTCTAATTATTATATTCTTTTTATATCTTCTCTTGTAATAAATGATAATTACTTTGAAAATACAACGAGCTCATAAATTGCCGACTGAAATTTCCAAGATAAACATGTTTCGAAGGCGATGTACACACATATGTACGAGTACGTCAGTAACAAAACGCTAACATCGTTTGTTTACTCTGTAGGAGTAAAATGTTTTATTTGTGCTAGAATTCGTTCGTTGTTTGAATAAAATTATAAAAGTTCCTTTCTTTTTAATTGAAACGGACGTAATTGAATGATTTCTTCTTTAAAAATCTATTGTTAGAAAAAATTGCAATCGTACGTTTTTTCTGTACTTCTGGTATCAAATGAAACATGACTTAGACAAACAAATGAAACAACAATTTTAAAGCAAAACTTAGGTGGTATTTTTTCTAGCTAGTGCCTATTTTCCTTTCCATTAGTATGTGGTATAAACTCTATTTGCCATCAGGTTAACATCATAGTTATTGTCAAAAACCACTTAAGACATTAATATAATTTATCTAAAGATCGTTTTCGCGTTGCTAATCATGAGATTCGAACGAATTTATTTAAAATATGGAGGTACAATATTATACACTTTGGCATTTAGCAAAACAATAGAACACGAAACAAAGGAAGTAAACATTACGGCTGTTAAACTAATTGTAAGACTAGAACTTCTTTAGATAGCGTAACAATAGAAAATGATATTCCTCTCTACGTACACAATACGGGCACACGTGCAGAATGTTGGATGAAATCCAAATAAGTTTTGCTCTATCGGTCCCACACTGACTAGAAGAACAAACATGTGCTGTGAATCATTAATGCTATATTTATATTTAGACGATCTGGACAGGTAAACACAAATGTAACTAGGTCTTCAATACTACGCTAGAGTGAATTAGCTTAGGCAGATTTCTTTCAAACTTTAATGTTAGATAAGAATTTTATGTTACTTTTACACTGCACCAACGAGTATGTTATATTTTTTAAGCATAAGCATAAATGCCTCATTTTTGCTTTTTACTACTATATTGTTAATCTTATCGATTTACAATAAATATAGAAATCTTTCTACAGGATATTATTTTAATTCTAAAAATACAACATGAACCCAAACTAAAAAACTTTTTAAAAAATAAAGCGTATTTGATAAAATACAATACTCAAAGCATCAAAGGTTTTAATAATTAGCTTAAAAGGAATACATAAAAGTTAGTAAGTAGAGACATTTTAAAGTCTTTGTTTGCTTTGTAGAATAACTAAAGAAGCGAAAGAAAGTTTTTCAATCTTTTACTGTCTTTAGTTTTTCCATCTTCAGTTTACAATACGATTACTTAGAAATAAATTTAAATGACATTTTTTATTATAATTGAGATTGAATCATGACGGAAAGAATTATAAAACATAGAATTATCTTGGACAGCGATATTTTAATTGTTTAGTTTCGTATTTACTAAAACTGTTTTATTATCAGTTAATTAAATTTTCCGCAAATAGATAATCCCAAACTTTAGCTTTCTAGCAGCCCGAAAATAAATCCGAAAAAAAAATACAATGCGGTTTTATAGCACTACGCGTTATGATCGAGCGGCTGCCAACCGCGATGGCAACTTAAGATTATTATCTTGCTATTGCAATTATTTCATGTTTTCACTTACTATCAAGGTAGCTGGCTGCTAAATATACAATGGTCTCAAATCCGGCGTCAAATTACGATTCATCGCATTAAAAACTTAACAATTTTTGAGTTTCTCATTTCCTAAAATTTTATATTGACTATGTTTCTTATGGACAAACAATTCATATTTAGTGATGTCGTTTACCCTGCAGGCATTAATACAAGCATGTCTACAAAGGGTCATAAAAATTAACCACATTGGCTTTCATTATCAATACAATACAATAAACCCTGAAATATTTGTTTTAGACAATGACAAAATCTTTTAAACTGTTAACATTTAGTACACTTCACTGACCATCGTTTAACAATTAAGTATATTTGGATCGATATTGGAATAACGGATATCCTTTATGAATATTTTAGATATCATATGTAAACAATGTTGCCTCGTAAGCTTATAATTTACACAGCTATAGATAAAATCTATATTAGCCGCCTTGTTATTTATAGCCTCAGAATACACAGAACGAGCAACCGCGATTATTGGCTGATAGATAAGAAAATGATGAAAACCAAGGAAACTTGTTAGTTCAAGTTTGTTTCAGTTCTTAACAAATTGATTCTATAACTTACTTACTCTTTGACAAAAAATACGAAAGTCGCTTCCTTATTTTAATTTGAAATACATAGGTAGGTACCTTTAACTTTGATAAATAAATGAAAACTAAGTGTTAACAATTTAAATTATCGATATAATTTCTACATTTCTTTAGCCCTGATGCCCTAAACATACATATGTTATTACTTATTACTCGTAGTATTATAAATGTGAAAATGTAGATGGACGGATGGATGTTTGTTAAAATTTGTAGCCTAAACGGCTGAACAGATTTCGGTGTAATATTTGATACAGGTTTAGGGATAGTCTGAAAGAACACAGGCTATATACTTTTTTTTAATTCCACACGAAAGTATTCACAAGCAAAAGCTAGTATATTGATGGTATTCGAAAGAAATAATTTTACGCATTAACATATTAATTACAAATAGATTTACACTCATAGTGGGAATGTTTAATGAAAACGGTAAGCTGTTTCACTTATAGATTGCTTATCATAACACGATGATCGATATTATACAAGTGTGATAAGGAAATAACATTATATCACTTCACACGCGGCCACCGTGTCAATGTTACAATCCATTTAAAGATAGAGGGATTTAAATACTCGTAAACTCGCTCACATACGAAGAAATGTTATAAACCATTCGATACATTTTAGGAGACTAATTGGATTGGATAAGATAGGAAGAAAGCATATTAGAGGAAGTTTGAGAGTAGCCCCAGTGGTTGAGAAAAAAGGAGTAAAAGGTAAGAGTGGTATGGACATGTTATGAGAAGGGATGAATCGCATATAACAAGACAAACGTTAGTTATGAATGTGGAGGGGTACACCGTTAGAGGTTGACCTAGAAAGAGATGGGTGGATTGCGTGAAAGGTGACATAATCAAGAAGGGAGTGATGACTGAGATGATGTATGATAGAGTGCTTTAGAGGACAAAAACCCGGTGCGCCGACCCTACGGGAGTAGGATAAGGCAGAGGAGATAATGATGATTATGAATTGAATGTTACGTTTTTCTTATAATCAACAAGATAACTAAATCTTTTTAAAAGACTTTAATATTATAAATCAACAAATAAAACATTTTAAAAAAATGTTATACGATTTCTTATCCCAGATCTCCTTGAGAACAATACTGTAACTTAAAAATATTAAGAAATACTGAGAAAATCTTACCCTTTTTCTCAGTTCCATTTTAACAAGCTGACCGATACTGCCACCGAGTAAGCCAAGCAATCGTAATAAAAAAGAAATTCTACTGAATTCTAGAAATGCCATACGTATAAAGAGAAGATCTGTAATACGGTCATTACTATAAACGAGTCTACGGACAAAAAGAATACGGAGCGCTCTGAAACGCTTAATCATAATAACAGCGGCATTTCTGATGTTTGCTTTTAATGAACACATTAGGGATTTGTATAATGGTATTCCTCGTGAGGTATTTTTATCTCATTTTCTTTCACGGTTTCTCTTTAGATTACCACCCGCATGCAATACGATATATCGATGCAGTGGTAGTAATATTAAATTATTAGTGTAACTAATCTTAGTCTTAGTCTTCTTATAAATGTGAAAGTTTAGATGTATGGATGGATGTTTGTTAGAGTTTGTAGCCTAAACGGCATTAATCATTTAATAGCATAACGGCGTTTAGAGCATAATCTGGAAAAACGTATAGGCTACTTACATTTGTTTTTTTAATACCTCGCAAACGGAGTCGCGGGCAAAAGCTAGTTGGAGCATAAAATAAAATATTGACTTACTCATTAAAATTTTACATTACTATTCTATTATTAGAGAGGTATTATTAGAGAGATTTTTTTGTTTACAGTAAAAATTTATAATCGCATTGGTGGAATGAAAATATACTCGCGTTGTCCCTTCTTTTTACCGTCAAGACTACAACGACCAGACCCAGTGCATACTATACTCGTATGTTATTGTATATTATTCTGCAGTGGTTGGTGCAACCGCGGCCCGATCGATACCACGATGGCCGCTGTCCTTGTTATTTGGTAAAAGCTTATTACATCGATCGTACGCCATGCTATTCAACTACTAGAATCGAAAATCCTGGATTTATTTTCATTTGTTTATCTGAAAAAAGCTAGCATTGCAAGCCACGTAAACTCAAATAAAAAAAACAGTCAGAGTCAATCTTAAACAAACAGATCACTTCCAGTATGGCATTCTTTTAAAGTACAATTTTATAAATATTACATTCACTTCAGTATTACAACTATGCCATTTAAGTTAAAATACTGTATTATGCTAACATAAAGCAATTATTGGATAACCTCTAAGCTCTGTTGGATAACAAGCCTTCAGTATAAACTTAATTGTTACTGTACATTAAAGTGACTTGTACGTTTTAATGAAGCGCTTTGTTGTAACATTTTTTTTATAAAACAAATTAGTTTTTTAAATGCGTTCCACAAATGCTACTTTCTTATTTCCTTTTGTTGTAGTTACTTTGATAGAGGAAAAAGTAAATTAAATGCTACATTTAAATAAAAATCCAATAAAACACTGCGCCCAATAAATAACCTCATGCATATGAAAATTCAGTAGATCTACTTGATACCTTAAATTTGAATTTATGATTTAACTTTTTGCATAGTAAAAGGCGAGCCAATGAATGCTGTTTGTGAGATAAATATTCATGGAAAAGTTATATGAATAGTTTTGCTTAAATATTTCTACAAGAGCTAAACGAATTGATCGCAGATTCCCAATAATTATTCTGTTAGAATTACAATATTCACCTATTAATGTGGAAGTTAATAATTTTTTTCTGATTAGAAACATGACTCTGACAAAACTTATTTTCTTAAGGAATTATAAATTAAAGGAAATCAGTGACCCATTAAGCGACCTTAAATATTTCATAGTTCAGTCACTTTGTTAGGAATCGATGTAGTTTTGGTAACTTATCTACCGATACTGAATTATAGAAGAGTTTTATGAATGGCAAGGTAAGTATGGAACAGTAATGTGTATACAGGTGGCCAGCAAAGATAACATGTGGCTCACTGATGTCGTAATCTCGCAATTATTCAATACCATAAAATATGTAGGTTTAAATCCACGATTAAATAGATGAAATTGTTTAATGAGTATTGTAATACACAAAAGAGACAGAGAGAGAGAGAGAGAGAGTTTCTGTATACTGACGATAGATAGGCATAACAAACCTAAACATGTTATCACTTTTTTTGAGTTTTCAATCGTAGAGCCCGCAATAACATCATAACGAGCATGCCCGGTACGCTCTGTACAATACCACGACCTCATAAAAAACAGCAGTGAAGTGGAAGCAAATTCCGATTTTAATCCACTTTTAGTTATTTTCTTATAAGAAAATGGCTGGAAAGGGAAGAGAATTTAGCAGAGGAGACGCATAATAAGGCGAAATTATTTTACGTCTCTTCCTTCGTCTATTATCTATAGTCTAGAGTAACCGTGGCAATTGCAGATGTCTATAGATTGACAATCGCTTTGCTTTTTTAGCGAACCCATGTAGCAGTTTGCTCGTTTAATATAATAAAACAAACATACAAAATCTGTGTAAACATAAATTCTTATAGTTTTTGTATTAATGTCTTAGGTCAAACAAGAACCGCTTATACGTAATGCAAGTTATAATATGTAGATTAGTAAGTAGTAAGGATAACTGTAAAGGCATTAACAATTACACAAGCTACTAATATCTTTGAACATAATCATTAATCATTCATATTGAACTGAGTAATCGAGTGTTGTGTTTACATTGAATATTAATGCAGCAATTCTATGTTGACTCATATA